GCGCAGAGAGTCAGGGAGGCGGGTGACAACGTGGTAGAGAGTGATCCAGAGCGGGGGGGGGGTTGCTAGCGAGGAACTCATCAGGCATGGCAGCGCGAAAGCGAGCCTCACTAGTCTTAAGGTGGGTGATGAGGTCTGCGACAGTGTGAAAAGAGGCTAGGTCGGGGAACAGGTAGGGGAGAGTGAGGCGGCCTAGTGTGGCAGAAGCGGGTGAGGAGTAGCGGGCCACTACAGCTGTGTAGAGGTCCTTAGCAGTCTTGCACTGGCCGAAGTGCTCGCGCTCATCTAGCGGCAGGGAGTTGCGAATAGCAAAGCGAGCGTGTGCGTCACGGGTCTGCCACTGTGAGCGCTCAGTTGGGGGGGCAGTAGCGAGTGGGGCGGTCGCATGGCCGAGAGCGTGGTCGTACAGTGTAATATCTTCCTTGGCAGTGAGCTGTAGGAAAAGGTGCAGATCATCTAGCCAGGTTTCGAATTTGACCGGACGGCCCTCGGCGTCGAAAGCTAGAACAGGAGGACTAGCCATAGCGACAGCGGCAGTAGTAGAAGCAGTAAAGTCACTGAACAGGCGTGCGCAGGGTCAGCAGGGCCGGTGGGGCCTACGGACTGTAGTGGCGCACAAGCAGCAGTAGCAGCGAGAGCCGGCGCAGCAGGGGCGGGCTCAGCAGCGGTGATACGCGGGCGGCAGCGGGCGCAGCAGCGGCGGTGCGCGGGCGGCGGCGGGCTCAGCAGCGGCGGTGCGCGGGCGGCTGCGGGCTCAGCAGCGGCGGGCCGGGAGCAGTGCGGGCAGCGTGCGGGCCGGCGGCGGTCAGCGCACGAGCCGCGCAGGCTCAGCGCGGGCTGCGCGGGCTGCTCGCGGGCTGCGTAAGCGGGTCGCGGGCGGCTCGCGGGGGTTCGCGGGCAGGTCGCGGGCTGCTCGCGGGCAGTTCGCGGGCTGTGCGCGGGCTGCGCGGGCTGGCCGCGGGCTGTGCAGGGGGGTCGCGGGCTGTGAGCGCGGCGCGCTGTGCGGTTCGCGGGCGGCGTGACGGGGCCGATCGGGGCGCTAAGGGGCGACGCGACGGGGGCCGTGAGAGGCCGCTAAAAAAAAAAATTTCGACGGGGCCGCAGGGCCGCTAGATCGTGCTAGATCGACGGGGCCAGCGGGGCCGGAAACAAGCGAAGGTAAGCAGGTAGGTAAGTCGGTGGGCCCTAAGAACAGTCCTAGCGAAGGACCTGCTCTGAAACCATGTCAGAAATAACTGAGCAGGAATGAATGAACTAGAACAGAGTTTGGTACAAGTAGGAAACCCTAACTTTGTGTACCCCCTAAGGTGTAACCCACTACAGCCTAGACAATATAAACATGCAATGTTTGACAGGATGATCGCGAGCGCCTCCTTCTCGTGTATGGGATAGTTCAGCTCCGCTCCCCTAAGCTTACGCAACTCGTACGCGATTGGCTACAACCCGCGTCCCTGGTCCTGAAGAAGCACTGCTCCTATGGCCTGATCGGAAGCGTCGGTCACTACAACGTACGGGCGAGTGGGATCGGGGTACGACAGTGTCGGTGAAGACGTGAGCGACTGCTTCATCTGCTCGAACGCCTGCTGCTGCGCTGGACCCCAAACGTACTCTACGCCTTTCCGAAGTAGGTCGGTGAGTGGACTAGCGATGGAAGCGTAACCCTGAACGAAACGACGGTAATAGTTCGCGAAACCGAGGAAGCTCTGCAACTCCTTGACTGAGGTCGGTGCTACCCAATCCTGTACGGCTGCGATCTTCTTCGGGTCGGTCCTAACGCCACTAGCGGATACGACGTGTCCTAGGAACTCGACCTCGGGGAGGAAGAACTCGCACTTAGACTGCTTCGCGTACAGCTTCTCCCTCCGCAAGACCTCAAAGACCTTCTGCAAGTGCTGCACGTGCTCCTCTTTCGACTTGGAGAAGATCAAGATGTCGTCTAGGTAAACTACGACGAACGAACCTAGGAACTCCGAGAGGACTGTGTTCATGAGCATCTAGAAGATCCTCTACTCTCGGCACCGGGAACCTATTCTTGACGGTGGCGGCGTTCAGTGCGCGGTAATCTATGCACATCCGTAACCCTCCGTCTTTCTTAGGCGCGAAAAGGATCGGTGCGGCCCAAGGCGATCTAGATGGCTGAATGAAACCCTGCGCGAGAAAGTGCCTAACCTGCTGCGTCATCTCCTCTGTCTCTGCTGGACTCAACCTCCACTGCGGCTTCGCTACTGGCCTGCTCCCCGGCTCTAACTCTATCCGATGGTCTACTGCTCGGCTGGGAGGTAACCCTGGGGGCAACTCGTCAGGGAAGACGTCTGCGAACTCTGCTAACAGTGCACTCACTTCAGCAGGAAGAGTCGCCTTCTCACTAACTGCTGCGCTCCCTCCTTTCCCCTCCTCAGCTTCAACCTCCTCAAGGAAAACCGCGAAGATCCGTGCCGCGCGCTTCACTAACTGTCGCACACGAACAGCATTAATGATGGCCGTGGAGGATGTGGCCCCATCGCTCCACTGTGGCAGCTCCCGGAACTCCCCGTCTACCTTGACGCTACAGCTTCCCTGGGCCCAGTCGAACTGAGTACTAACCGTCCGTAGCCAATCTCTCCCGAAGATGAAATCGTATCTGTCCAGCATCGCAGAGTCGAAATCGCGTCTAACCGTGATCGGTCCTAGCACTATGCGCAACTTGCGGATGATCGGTCCTATGTTGAGAGGCGTTCCATCTACCATGCGCGCGTCCTTGAAGTTGACTGCGGAATCTGCTTCGAGATGGAGACGACTAACTAATGAAGACGAAACGAACGAGTGGCTAGCTCCGCTATCGACGAGAATCTTAACAGGAACTCCGCGAAGCTTCCCTAGAAGCACGACTGGACGATCAACAGTGTCTACCGAGGTCTCCGTAGATGACTGCTGCAAGGCCGTCTCCTCTACGTTGGTAGACGTGGCGGGTACGGGAACCTCCACACCAGCTAGCGACCCGCTATCTACTGGCGGTTTCCGTTTCCCTGCTGCTGCTCCTTGAACTGTGGGCAGTCCCGCTTCATGTGACCCGGCTTTTTGCAGTAGTAACAGTTCCCCCTAAAACCCGTCCGCTGTGAACCGTCACTGTTAACTGCACCAATCTCCATGGGCGATGGTCCGTCCCTCGATCGAGCGTCGTTGATCGGTCTGCTGTATCCCCTATCGCGATCGTCACGACCCCGTCGGCTTCGTACTGCGTCGACGCGTTCTGCTGCTGCGACTACTGAATCGAAGGTGGACAACCCATGGATTGCTATGACCTCCGCTATGTCCGGCTTCAACCCCTCGAGGTAGCGATCGCGCATCTCTGCTTCCGTGATGTCGTCTATCTCGTTGCAGATACTCAAGAACCGTCGTGTGTACTCCTGGACGTTCCCTATCTGGCGGAAATGACGCAGACGCTTCCTAGCAGCTTCGGAGGCGTTCACCAAATCGAACCTACTTTTCAGCGCCGCTTCAAATCCTTCCCATGTGGTCGGAACCGTGGTAACACCCAAAGCTAAACTCCCTAAGCTCGAAGTTGCAGCTGCATGCCCCACGCCCTGTTGATGCCCGTCCGTCTGAGCCCTTCTAACAGCAGTCTGCGTAAGTTGGCGCCACCACTCCAAGGCCGGGCCCCTCAGCAGCGTCACCGCGTACTCGATCCGCTGCTGCGCGTCCGCCTCTTGCACCCCGCTCGCGGCGAAGTAGTTGTTGAGCATGAAGAGCCACGTCCGCACGTTCGCGTCGCGTTGGCTCGGGTCGAACGACTCGGGCTTCTGCGGCTTGAGTGCGCTTCGACGTTCCGGCAGCGCTTCCGCGCCAGTCGACGTGGTGGGTGCAGGAGTTGGTGCGGCATGGCCATAGGGGTTAGAAGCCAATTCACGAAGCTGTTGCATTTCAGCTCGTACCTGACGATTTTCCAACGTCAACTCTTGAAGTTGGCGCATGAGTTCGGCAAGCGTGTTGCCCATGTCGTGGGGGAGAGCGTGCATGGTCTCGTCCATGTTTGCTCGACGACTCCAAGTCTGCAAGTCGGCACCGCGGGACGATGACGTCGTAGTCTCGTCGTCGACGGTCGCTCGTTGGAAGTCGCTCCCCGCGAAGGCTCTTGATACCAAGTGTTAGGCCCGACGGCCTAAGTCCGCTAAAGAATTAGCGGGGTCGACTAAGTCGAGGATAAAGCGCGGCGGAAGGCTTTGGCGAAAAGACTATTGGCAAAATAGGCGAAGAAGTTACTAGGTAATTGAAGAAGAGTTGAATGAGAATTGGTTGATATTGGTGGATACAAGCAAGGTTGATATAGCATGCAAGAGCAATTGTGGGAAAGTGGTTTGTGGGACTAGGAATTGTAGTGCAAGAAAAGTAGAGTGCCACGTGGCACTAGGAAATCTAGGAAGATAAGGATAAGGGTGAGTTGGAAAGTACTGTTCAAAGTGAACAGTAAATCCCCTCTTAACATAGGGAACCGATTGATGCAAACAGAGCTGCCCAGCCCATGCGTGCGAAACCCGTGACCCGTCACTTCGTCGCTACGAGTTGCCGTTCCGCATCATTATGAATCTTGGAATTTTGCGAAGACGGGACGCGCCACGCAAAAGCAAATGCTGCAAACGGGAAACGTGTCCGTGAATCCCTCGTGTTTCGTTTGGTTGTTTCCGTTATGGAGGCTCCCGATGTTGGTGAATGTTTCCCGTGCGTAAATGAAATATTAGGCCGTTGATTAACGGGTAAGAGTGGTGAATCGATAACCGTTAAAAAATGCACCATTATCGTGCTCAAGTGCTTGTACTGAACCTGGGACCTGCCTTTAGCGCAGGTTCAAATTGGACATGGGTTCAAAGTGGAAGTCAAACAAACCGCTCTTAATTGCACATAGTCTCACTTTACCGCAACAAGTGAACAGAAATGTGTGGGCCGTGACGCGCCCAGGCTTGTATTCCTCTCTACGCCAGGCACGACTTCTCTGAACTCTGAAGTTCACCTTCCTCTCGGACCCGATGGGTGTTCGATCTGCTTCTGTGCCTAGAGGCCACATCAGCCTGCATGCTGGGTTCATCCTACTCCAGCCTGTGTTCCTCATTGGTCTGATCGTGACAGGTAAGCTTCGTCGCCCCCATGTTTCAGGCGGATTTACTTCGGCGTCTCCACCGTGGACTGCTTTCGGGCTGACTCCCAAGGTTCGTTCATTCAGTTGCACTGTTTCGACCTCGTTTACTGACCCCACGCGTTTTCCTCTCCGCCATCGGTTTTCGGAAGGCTCCCGTTCGACCAACCTACGACAGCTTCTACGTGGATCCGTTTCTGCTCAACCCGGTAAGTGTTTTGGTCGTTTGCTAACCTGCGTATTTCCTGTGCTGCGACAGTGGAAAGGCGATCCTACAGTTGGTGGCCATAAGGCAGGAGTGGTGCTGCTGATCTGTTCTTGGACCACTGGGCTCTACCCTGCTGCTGGACCTCGGCTCTCTTGCACATGCAGCCTCCTTACCTCGTCAGACGTGCTCACGGCGGCCTTTAGGAAGTCGTGGACTTCGCCTCAACAGCTCCGTTCTTACGTGTTCACTCGCGAAAGCATCCATGCACCTGTGCGCTGCGGCCATTGCCAACGCCATGCAAACCCCTTTTTATCATGGTTCAATGTCCGCAATCCCTCCGTCGGACCGCATCCGATCGAAGCGGATCGCGGTTCTTGGTACAAGTCTTTTCCTCCGCCACGAAAGAAGCCATCACTTGGCAAGATGGCCCACTCCAACAACCCCGATGTGCCTATGGAAGAGGAGGAGCTCGATGCTTCTTTCTCCGTTGAGTCTTTCTTTGCAGACGAGCCAGAGTCTCATGCTGGTCCCTCTGCACCGCCTCCTGCTAAGAAGCTGTGCGGTGAAGGCTCCTCCTCTGCCCCGCCGGCCCCTGCCAGTGGTCCCCGCGTCTCGTTGCCTCGCGGCAACGCGGCTCCCCCCCCCCCCGGCCCGCTGCTGCGCCGCAGCAGACGAGGTCAGCAACCGAAACAAGCGTCGCGACTGGCCCTGCGCTCTCTGGCCCTCTCAATCGGCTCCGTCGCAATCGTGAGACCATCGGTGTGGTTGCTGATTCTCTTGTGCGTGACACAGATTGCCTGTCCACCATCATTTTCCCTGATTCTGTTGAGTCGCACCGCTACAAAATTGTTGACCGCGTCCGTCAGTGCCTGCGTGGCCGCGACTTTGGCGGGGTCGTTCCCAAGTTTGACCACGCGCCAGGAGAAATCCTGCGTCTTCCTCGCAAGTCGTACTGCCGACAAATCCTGCAGTGGCCTACGCAGGAAGCGGCTCTTCGTTTCCGCAACGTGCTTCCGCTCACGTACCGTGCCGAGGGTGTGAATGCAGAAATCAAGTTCTACCAGGATCCCGAGCCTGAATACTCCGCCGCCAGGGCCGCCGGCACCACCCATCTCGTCATCCGCAACGTTCCCATTGGTTTCGCGACCGCCGACATCCTCACCCTCCTCACCAGGGAACGTCGTTTGCCTGATCGGAGGTGGCTGAAGGAGATCCGCCACTTCCATAAGGTCTATGATCCGTACGAAGATGCGTTGCTGCCCCAGCTGCATGGCATCTCGATTGCGGTTGATGATGACCTGCAGTTCCAGCGTGTCCCTGCTTTCATCTGGCTCCCGGGGATCCGAGATCCTCTCATCCTCAATTTCTCCTCACACTCCTGTGGTGTCTGCAACAGTAACCACCGGACCCCTGATCACAGTGGGTTCGCGACTGCACGCAATGGGCGTTTGGCGAATCAGTACCAGATTTCGCTGGGTCAGCTTCAGCATGTGAATGGTACGGGCATACAATATGCGCTAATCGCAGCATCTGTCTCCTTTCTCTTGTCTATCTATGTTTGGTTCTCTGCCATCCGCACCTCCTGTCTTCTGCTGCCTTTCATATGGATCTACTGTGTATGGTCCACCATGCCTCTCTGCCTTTATGTGTCACAGGCCGAAAGTGGCCTGCCGCTACCCCCACCCTTCCCCTCTCCCTGCTACCTCCCTTCCCCCACGGCCCATGTCTCTGCTGCCAGGAAAACTCATTGGCCAGAACCCTGCCGCGCACGCTTTCAAGCAGGACCCTGGTCTCCTGTACATAGGACTCGAGGGAGACGTCGAGGCCTGGACCTGTGCAGTGTGCTCTTTCTGCTGCGGTTGGGCACTGGACAGTGCGATGCAGCATCTCAAGTCCCCGGCTCATCAGACCCGTCTGCTGGACACCGTCAAGAAGACGGCCCCCATTGTGGAAATGGGAGATACCCCGGCGCATCTGTTCGTCCAGAGGGGTGCTATTGCAAAATTCCTTGCCGAGGAAGAATGAGAACGCTTTCCACGCTCTGGTGGTTCCTAGCCATTGCATGCTTTCACGACTACCTTGCTGTGCAATGGGCTGTCTTTCCTTGTGGAGAGTGCAAAATAATTCAGTTTTCTGCCTCATCTTGCTCTTTCTTTCGTTCTATCATCCTACTTGGTACAACATATAAAAATCTGGCTGGACCCCCGTGGATGGGTGTGCTTATGCACGCCAGGGGGCTATTATCCGGATCATAATGTTAACACACGTAAAAATCCTATGCCTCAATGTTAACGGACTGAACACATTTGAAAAAATGGATCTGCTTAAGGCTCGGTTGAGTGCCAACCCGGATGTCTTAATAATGACTGACACTAGACTCTCTAACAACTTCACCCGACTCATTTACAAACTCCGTCCCTCTGCCTATGCACAGTCGCCTCCTGTCCTCACAAATGGTAAACCCCAACCAGGGGGTGTTGCCATTCTCATTTTTAACCCCAAAATCCGCATCTCCTCTCGGTCATCCTCCTGTGATGGCAGACATCTACTTATCCACTGCAATTACTGTATCTTCAAGAACAAATTCGCATCCTCGGTGTCTATGCCCCCAATTACTACATTGACCGTAGACGATGGTGGCAATCCAACATTGAACCTCTGTTTGAAGAGCCTGCTGCATGTGACTGCACCTTAATTGCAGGAGACTTCAACAATGTCGATCTTGACATTGATAGGAACAGAGACCTCGCTGCATTTGAAAAAACAGAGGCAAAGAATTTTAGTGACTTCATGACAGAGCATAGCCTTATTGATTCATTCAGACACATCCACCCTACCCAACCCATGTTTTCTTTTGTCAAACTCCGCACACGTGGCCCCCTGTCGGCCGGATCCCGGCTTGACAGAATCTACATATCTAGGGAATGGAAAACTCGGATTAGAGAAGCCACATACCTGTCCATTAACCGTCGCCTCTCCGACCATACCCGTGCTCCTTTCATCTCCCTGCGGTTCGATAACCCCAACGCCACGGCCATGGCGGCTACCACACTCTCTCATCTCCAAACCTTTCGTCGCCTCAACGGTCTCTGACATGGCCCTGGCACTTCCTGAACAACCCAGTCCTGCATCATGGGATCAATGGAAAAACCGCCTGTGCGCCAAGCTCCAATGGTTCACTCGTGAAGAACGCACACGGGTCTCTAAAACCACATCCCACCTTCAAGATGAAATCTGCAACCTGCAACTACAATTGCTACGCCAACCACTCGATGCCGCCTCAGTTGCCCGGCTGGCCCACCTCGAAAACTTCCTCGTTGCATACGAGTCCTGCAAGGCCAACGAAATTGCGCTCAAAGCTAAACTAAAGGTGGAAGGCCCCAGAGAAATGGGCCTCTCTTCTCTGCTGGTCGGCCTTAACCGCAGGATCAAAGACTCGCTCATCCCTCAGCTCACCCTCCCCTCCGGTGATAAGACATCGGACCTCAGGGAGATGTCTTCCCTGTGCACGCAATTCTTTGCCGCATTATACAAAGGTGATACCCCGATCTCACGGTCCCCTGATTTTTGGGACCATATCTACCCCTCCTTTCTTCCTCACAAAAGCACCACCAAACTAGCCCAACCAATTTCGCTTAGAGAAGTGGAAGCAGCCATATCCAAGCTGGCCAAAGGCAAGACTCCTGGACCCGATGGGCTACCTGGCGACCTACTCAGAATGTACAAAGAAAAACTGGCCCCGGTTCTTCTGCGACTTTTCCACACCTGCTGGGAAATGCAGGAACTCCCAGAATCCATGCGCACAGGCAGGACGGTCCTCATCCCTAAGAAAGGCAATATGGAGCTAGTCGAAAACTTACGCCCTATTACGTTAATGAATTCGGACTATAAGGTTCTCGCCCTTTACTGCTGAAAGGCTATCTTCGGTGTATTCCTTCGGTGGCCGATTTCAGCCTCCGCCCACCCAAGTGATCTCGCAGCTAGACAAAACTGTTGGCAACTTCCTCTCCTCCTCCAAATATAAGGAGACCGGCCCGACCACCAGAATGATTCCTAACAACTTCCTCTACAATCGTCAAAGTCATGGCGGAGTAGGTGCGACTGCCCCGTCCGTACAAATAGAGGCCCTTAACATACAACGCGCTGTCAGGCTCTTCAAACCCACCCCTTACGAAGCAGGGACGTGAATGCATACCGTTGCCATATGGTGCTCATTGCTTTCTCGCGCACCCCGACATCAAGGACCACTTACCACCCGACATCCCCTGCAGGATTCTTGCTGAGCTTCGCAGCATTCTGGCGCTGCAAGTCGCCGTCTCTCCCCCCCGACTTGAACCTTGGGTATTAATGGCAGAACCGCTGGCTTTCAACCGCTTCTTGAAACGAAAAACCACCGGCCTCCCTTTTGGGAGACTTAAGAACGAAGCTTTCCTCCTTCAGCGCCAACTAAGGATCGGGAACATCCTCATCCCTACCCAGGCAGGTGCGAGACGTATGACCAAGAAGGAATTTCGCGAAAAATACCTGCCAAAAGACTTTCCAAGTGGTTTCAGCATCATCGACGATATCTACACAGCTATGGGTGACGCATGGTGGACAGTGCTCGATACCTTCCAGCCGGCTAGCAACTACCTCCAGCTACGAGAGTGGGCGATCGTCGGCAACGAGCGGGACAATCTGCGGAGGGTGTTGCAGGTGGTGGACATCCTTCCCGATGGACTGGTGCGATTCAAGTCTCACACGGTTCTCACGGACGGAAGAGTGGAGCAGCGCTCTTCCAGTTTCTGTACGCTTCCGAAGTCCTCAGTCATCACCGTGTGCGTCAGGGACGAATGGTTGGTCGGCCCATTCTGCTCAGGCGCTGCGCTGGGAGTCCGTTACGGGCTGATCTCCCGCGACCCCTCTTTCGCAGAAATCAAAAAAGCCCTCTACGTGCGACGACCTCTTAACCACATAGTAGGATGGAACCGTGTGCTCCACTTGCCTCTCGATTCCCTCCCTGACCTGACCCACTCTTTTCTCAAAGACCAGCTAAGCCGGCACAGAGACGTCCTCCTAAGCCTTTACTACAGGGCCCTCCCATCTGGTTCACGACTACCGTTCCTAGCCGCTCGGGGTCTATGTGTACGATGCAACTCCAGAGAAACTGAATCCTTACCTCACATTTTCTTCGACTGCGGTGCCGCGCCTCTGGTGGTTGAAGCAATTTAAAGGACAGCGCAACTACACCTATCCATCAACATTCACCACGACTCGGTCTTCTTTCCGCCAAACTGTCCAGCGGGACAAATCGCCCCGTGGAGCATCCTCATCGGCGCAGCTGCCCAAACCCTTTGGGTCGACCGCTGCGAACAACACTATGGGAGGCAGATTATGGACAACAGCTCGACGCTAAGACGGATCATCGGCCTTTTCCTCTCGGCCTGCAGAGTCTTCTTCGCAAAGAGATCTAAATGGTCGGCAAAAAAGCAGAAACGTTCAGCCAACAGGATCAAGGCTGCTAAGTCCCTTCGTATGCTGCAATTCGATGAGCAGGGGAGGCCCTCGTTACACCCCTCGCTGGTCCATTCGTGGTTCTTGGGCAACGCTTACAGGCCCCCATAATTTTCGCCTCCTCTTGACCTTGGGCACGGTGCTACCATGTTACCCTCGGGTTTTGTGCTGTTCGTTGCGAATAGGCAATTAATGCTGGTTAGCATAGGCCCCCCTCGGCTTTGGCGTCAAATGCCATAATTGTGTAGGCACTGTACAATGGTTACGACCATAATAAAAACCTTAAAAACCTTAAAACCTCTCTACGCCAGGCAAGCAACACGTGCATAGCGGCGAGGAAGGTGGTTAGGCAGCCTATGAGCGAAGCCAGAGGGAGGTATGGCCGCTAGTTCTGCTGACGCATGGGTGATTAGTACCAACTCGTTTCAATGGCCGCTGTTTTTCGCGTTGATAATCGCAGCCGTCGCGTTGTTCGTCTCGGCATCTTGGTTTTCCTTCCTTCGCCGTCGCTCCTCCTTACCTCCAGGCCCTTCGCCATGGCCAATTCTAGGCAACCTTCCGGACCTGGGCTTCCTGCCGTACCGCTCACTCGCGAAGCTCGCGGACAGGTTCGGTCCAGTCCTGACCGTGTGGATCGGGTCCATCCCATCTGTGATTATATCTTCGTCAGAGTTGGCCCTCGAGGTTCTTAGAACGCATGATAAGTTCTGCTCCGCGCGCCCGCTTCTACATCTTATCGACTTCGCGTCGCACGGTGGAAAAGACATATTTTTTTCGCCAGCTAACGACCACTGGCGAAAGATGCGACGCCTGGCGAAGCTGCATCTCCTATGTTCGCGGGGATTACAGGAGACCCTGTGGGTTCGCGAAGCGGAGATCCGCGACATGCTTGACGCGATAGCGGAAGTCGCTACTAACGGGGATGCGAGAGGCGTGCAAATGCGAGGTTATTTGAACCGCGGGACTTTAAACAACATTTTGCGGCTGACGGTTGGCAAGAGTTACACCTACAGCACGGTTGATCGCGCTGCTGCCGCTGCACCAGGGGAAATGCTCGAAGCGGCGTTGAAAACCGACTGGCAGGGACGCATCGCCGCTATCAACGGCGCGAAACCCGGCGAGTTGGCGTCTATTGCGGAGGACGAAATGGAAGGCGAGAAGGTGATTGCGATGGTCGACGAGACGTTTCAGGTGATGGGAACGTTCAACCTAGCCGATTTTATTCCGTGGGTCAGCCCTCTAGGTCCGCAGCGCATCTACGCTCGCGCGAGGCGGCTCAATCCGCGCTTCGAAGCATATGTGCTGGCATGCATTGCGGAGAGAAAGCGGATGCTGGAAACGCGGAGGGGGAGAGCGGGGGAACGGGGAGTGGAAGAACGGGACAAGGGGGAAAGGGACGTGGGACCAGAAAGAAGGCACAAGAATGATGGGGAAGGTGGAAAAGGAGAGGGAGGAGAGGTGAAGCTGGGAGGAGAAGAGTCAGTGGTGGAACGAGTTCTGGTAGACGCTTTGCTAGAAATTGAGAGCCAAGGGGAGGAAGAGGTAACTGGAAAGGATTGGGTAACTAGAGAGGATGTTATGCTGCTCTGTTTGGATTTGATCATTGCTGGCACGGACACCACTGCCAAGACTGTCGAGTGGGCCCTTGCTGAGCTGGCAAGTCACCCTGCCATGCTGGAACGGCTCCAAGATGAGGTGGATGCCGCATATGCCAAGTCTGCAGCAGCTGGAGCAGCCACAGACGCAGGGGCAGGGGAAGCAGCAGGAGAATGTAATGGAAGACAGAGCATAGCTAAATCATCTCTCCCAGTACAAGAGATGCCTTATCTTCAAGCGGTGATCAAGGAAACTCTGAGGCACCACCCACCAGTACCGCTCCTCATCCCTCACTTGACAACTGCCAGTGTTTCTATTGGCGGATACACCATCCCTCCCAACACAATCATTCAGATCAACGCCTGGGGACTCGCTCACGATCCAACGGTTTGGATCAACCCCCATAATTTTGATCCCAACAGGTTTCTCGGCCCATCGGCCCCTGATGTGACCGGGCAGGATTATGGTGTGCTGCCGTTCGGTTCGGGCAGGCGTGTGTGTGCAGCTATGAATTTGGGGCTTGATCTTTCTGCACGCATGCTAGCGAGCATTGTTTCGCGTTTTGATTTGAAGCTGCCCGAAGATGTGTTGGCTGCTGGTGGAGTTGACTAGGGAGAGGATTTTAGTCTCACTTTGGCACCAGGGCCTATTTTTGGTTTTGGGGCACTCTTGGGAATCAGGGTGCCTTGATGACGTCACCCTGCCTGTCAGGGTATTTTTCCTTCCACCCTTTCAAAATCAGGGTAAACTTTTAAGCACCCTGATTTGTAACGGAAATGGGGGAATTGGGGCTGGGAGTGACAAGGGAATTGTGGGGAGGGACTGGGAGATGCGAGGGAAACGAGGGGAGGTGAGCAGGGAGTGGCGAGGGATACGGGAAAATGGGGCTCGGCGGCTCGGAGAAGCGAGGGGATGGGGGAGAGTGGGGCTGGGAGTGGCGAAGGTATGCTGATGCGTAAGGGTAAGAATTAGCGCACACTGATTTTGACAGGGTAGAAAAAACTCCAAACTTTTGAATAAAGGGTACAAAATCACCCACCCTTTTAGAATCAGGGTAATCGTACAAAATTGGATTTTAGAATGGGGAATCAGGGTATTTCACCCTTGAAAAAATGCCCTTGTTTGGCACTGGCTAAGCCTTTACGGCTTGTGTTGCGGGAACGGAAGGAGACACAATTGACATTGGCGCATCTTCAGTGAAGTCATTGGATAAGGCTCGTAAAGTTTTAAAAAGAGTTTGGCATGTGTTGTTCCACAGTATGCAGACAGTAATAAATTTGCTCATTAACACTTTAGTGCTGCCTGTCCTCGTGGGCATATGTTTCTTTTTAGATGCTCATGGGTGAGCATATGTGTTATTTTATTTTACTTCAATTGTGTTGGGTAGTCCATCATGTTTGTCATTCCTAATGTGACGTGGAACCACACGTGCACCTGATGTGACTATGGGCTGCAGTCGGCGAAAACGGACACATCCAAGAGCTTTCGCAAAAGTTTTCGCTCACCTGTAACGCTTGCGTTCGTTTTGTCGCCTAGCAAGGCTTGCTTGCGAACGAAACGGCATTGCGTGGGAAACGGGTCGCCTCGCCTCTTCACCTCACTACAGTACCTTCGAAAACGGTCAAGTGATAGCCGCAGGTAAGCTGAAGGCAAGCCGCGCTAGCGAATGAAAATGCTTCACGGTGGGGTGCGATTCTGTACGTGTTAGAGCGGCTTCTTTTAGGTTCTTTACGTTTGGGTTGGGTTTTGAGCGATAAATCAGTATCGCATCACACTCACTTATCTCCCATGCGGTGTCTTTCCATCTCAGTTATCTCGCCATTCCCTTTTCATCTCCTACTATGTACAGGAAGGTCTGCTGATAGCATCTAGCATTCGGCCGTTCTGAGTTTCCAGCACGCTGTTAGCTGGAAAATTCCCTCTCACCATGGCTGCTGAGGATACGCATCCTGGGACGGGCTGGTTCGCCAGCGGAATCAACACCGCTCAGCATCTTTCCCCCAATGAAACGGCATCTAGCGGAGACTTCCGCGCCGCGTCAGGCCTCGTCGCAGCCGTTGTCGCAGTGGTCGCGGTTCTCGTTTCCACTTCCTGGCTCTCCTTCCTCCGCCGCCGTCGCTCCCTCCCCCCCGGCCCTTACCCATGGCCTATCCTCGGTAACCTCCCGGACCTAGGAACGCTTCCATTCCGCTCCCTAGCAAAGCTGGCCGACAGGTACGGCCCGATCTTGACCGTCTGGTTCGGTTCCACGCCGTCAGTCGTCATCTCCTCGCCGGAGCTCGCTCGCGAGGTGCTTAAAACAAATGACAAGCTCTGCTCGTCTCGCCCGACGATTCGCACACTGGAGATTTTCTCTCTCGGCGGGAAAAATATCGTGTTTTCGCAACCCAACGACCGTTGGCGAAAGTTGCGACGGCTGGCGACGCTGCACCTTCTGTCTGCGAAGAAACTGCAGGAGAGCCTTCCCGTGCGCGAGGGGTAGGTTCGCGACATGTTCGATGCGATCGCTGCTGACGTGGCTACTAGTGCTGCTGACTCAGCTGCTACTGACACAGCTGCTGCAGAGGGGAGCATAGTAGAAGTGCGAAGGTACTTAAGTCGCGCGACGCTCAACAACATTATGCGCATAACTGTGGGAAAGCGGTTCGGCTATTCGTCGATTCGCGGCGCGGCGAGCACCACGCCAAAGGCGCTTCTCGACGCCGCGATGCGCATCGACTGGAACGCGCGCATCGCCGCAATGAGCGGCGAGAAACGTGGCGGCGGTGCCGACGCGGCTGCAGGTCCAGCTACTGGTTCCGACGCTTCGGCAGCGGCTGAAGCGGAATGTACTACTGCTAAGACTAACTTATCGTCTGCAACGGAGGCGACGGAAGGAGAGATAGCGTTTGCGATTATAGAGGAGGGATTTGCCCTTGCGGGAGCGTTCAATCTCGCGGATTACGTGCCGTGGCTGAGCTACTGGGACCCGCTGCGCATGTATGCGCGCGCGCAGCGCCTCGCGCCGCAGCTGTTCGGACTCATGGGCGCGTGCATCGCGGAGCGACGCCAACTCCTGCTGTGGAAGAAATGTTCCTCAAACGAAGGAAACGTGACTTTGGAGGAAGAAACCACTCTTGTGGATACATTGTTCGAGATTGAAGGGGAGGGAGAGGATGAGATGAATCAGGACGAGATGCTGATGCTCGCGATTGATATGATGATGGCCGGGACAGATACCACCGCCAAAACCGTGGAGTGGGCGCTAGCTGAGCTGGCACAGCACGCTGACATGCTGGAAAGGCTGCGCGCTGAGGTGGATGAAGCTTATGACAGGTCAGCAAGGGCAGCCACGGAAACTGGGGTGGCTGCAGCAGGAGGTTCGGATCGTCTGGTTTCCCTTCCTGTAGCAGAAATGCCGTATCTACAGGCTGTCATCAAAGAAACACTTAGGCATTACCCTGTCGCTCCGTTCCTCGTTCCCCACCAGACAACTGACAGCGTAACTATAGGGGGTTACCACATCCCTCCCAACACCATGATTCAAATCAACGGCTGGGCTCTTTCGCACGATCCAACGGTCTGGATCAACCCGCACAAATTTGATCCCTCCAGGTTCCTTGTCCCTGAAGCCCCTGACGTGACCGGGCAAAATTTCAGCTTGCTGCCCTTCGGTTCGGGCAGGCGAGGGTGCCTGGGGATGAACCTGGGATTGGACCTGTCTGCCCGCCTGCTGGCGAATTTTGTTCGGCGGTTTGATTTCAAGCTGCCAGAGGATGTGAGGGCAGCTGGGGGGCTGGACATGACGGAAAATTTTGGGCTGACCATGTCTCTGGCTAAACCGCTGAGGATTATGGTGAGGGAGAGAAAGGCAGTGCCAGGTGCGGTGGTTTCTGCTTCAGGAGCATGAGCTTCAATGGGTGCTGCATGGGTTGCTGCAAGGGGTGCTGCAAGGGTTGCTACATGAGGGGTTGATCTGGCTATGGAGTTACTAGCTGTCTAAGCCACTTAGAATGGTGGTGAGGAGGAGGAGGAGGAGGAGGTGGAGGAGGAGGAGGAGGAGGAGGAGGAGGAGGAGGAGGAGGAGGAGGAGGAGGAGGAGGAGGAGGAGGAGGAGGAGGAGGAGGAGGAGGAGGAGGAGGAGGAGGAGGAGGAGGGGGGGAGGAGGAAGAGGGTTGTAAAGCGACTTCTGTGGTTGCTGCTGCTCCTCCTCCTCCTCGTTTTAGGGCTTCTGTTACTGCTGCTGCCTGCTGCTGCTGCAGCTGGTGCTGATCCTCTGTCCCTGTCCCTCTCCCTGTCCCAGTCTCTGTCCCTGTATTCTCTTTCCATACAGCTGCTGCTACTGTATCCCATGCTTGCACTGGTAATCATAACAGTGTTGTTTGTTCTTTTGCCAGTTACTGTGAAAACCGTGTTCAATTGAACCCAGTTTGTGCTGGGGAAGGTGGAGCCACAAGAGCAGCAGCGGCGGAAGTAGCATCTGGAGGATCTTTCGGGAAGCAAGGCATTGGAAAGCCATCTCTCTCAGTGCAGAATTCGCATTATATCTTCAAGCGGTGATTGAGAAAACTTCGAGGCTCCTCCACCCCCCTGTACCTCTCCTCATCCCTAGCAGGTATGAATTTGGGACTGGACCTTACAGTGCGTATGCTAGCACGCATTCTGTGTCAGAATCTAGCAGCAGGAATGGATGAACTAGCAACATGCAGGAGTACAAGTAGTAAACCCTAATTGGGCTGTACCCCATATGGGCTACCCCACTACAGCCTAGACAATATGCAGCATATATGTTTGACACACCCCCATAGGCAAAGTGGGGGAGAACAAGGGGTCAAACGACCAGTCAAGAGAAGCAAAGCAAGCTCAGGGTGGATCTCAACGTCACCACACATTCTGAGCACAAGCAAAGGGCCACAAGGCCAGTCCACATGCAGAGATATATATGCAACAATAACAGTACAGTGATGACTACCTAGCAAGAGCAGGCATGCATGTATATATATAGATCACAGTACAAGCAGAGACTACAGCAAGTGTGGAAACGTAGGCACAAGGCCTAACAGGGTACAAAAGCGCTGATGATCACAAGACGGAAGTGCCTTGGTGAATATATCAGCAGTGTTGGCCCGAGAGGCCACGTGACGAAGATGAAGCTGGCCTCGCTGCTGCAACTCTCGAGCCAGGAAGTAACGCAGAGCAATGTGCTTCGTTCTGTGCTCCAGTCTGTGCTCCTCACACAAGGCAATGGCGGCCTTGTTGTCGACGTACAGCACTGGAGGAGAACGAGGCTGCTCTCCCAAGTCAGTCAGCAGGTAGGTGAGCCAGCGTAACTCCTGTGCAGCCATGGCTGTGGCGTAGATCTCAGCCTCACAACTGGAGCTGAGAACTGAAGACGAGCGTGTAGAACGCCACGAAACTGAGCCAGAGCAAAGGCTGAAGGTGTAACCCTGTGACGACCGCTGAGTAGCCTGGTCGTCAACCCAAGAAGCGTCTGAGTGCCCAGTGAGGACAACTGGGCTCGTCCCTCCAAGCACTAGCCCCATGCCTGATGTGCTGCACAAGTAGCGCAGTACCCTCTTAGCAGCAGCCATGTGCTCAGGTCGGTGCCGACCAGGAGCCACGTAGCGAGCCAGAAGACCAAGAGGGTACGCGAGGTCAGGTCGAGTGCAAGTCATCAGGTACATGAGGCAGCCGACTAGCTCTGGGTAAGGACCACTCGGCTCTACGGACTCGTCCGAAGGTGGAGCTGAGAGCGTGTGACCTGTAGCCAGAGGAGTGGCCTGTGCTGAAGACCAGGTGAAGCCGAAGCGCTGAAGGACCTGCTGCACCATGTGTGACTGAGTCAAGGTGATGGTGCGGCGTGCTCTGTCCCGGGTGATCTGCAAGCCAAGGTAGCTGCGTAGCTCACCCAAGTCTGTGCACGTGTGTCTCTTCTGCAGCTCCGACTTCACGTGGGCGAGAGCCTCAGTGTCAGCAGTGGCAAAAACCAAGTCGTCGACGTACACGAGGATGTAGAACGGCGGCAGTGAAGTGTCGGTGCGCAGAAACAGCGACGGGTCAGCAGTAGAAGGCGCGAACCCAAGAGCCGCAAGCGTAGTCCTCAGTGTGTCGTGCCACTCACGTGGCGCCTGGCGGAGACCGTAGACCGGCCGCCGGAGGCTCCACTGGGTGCCAGGAGGGAACGACCCAGTGAAGCCCGGGGGGCGGCGCAGCCAGATCTCCTCGTGCAGGCTGCCCTGCAAGAAAGCTGTGCTGAAGTCAAGAGAGTGAAGCTCGTAGTCACGGTGAGCAGCAACATGCAGCAGCACCCGAAGAGTGGTCATCTTCGGGGTGGGGGAGAAGGTCTGGAAGAAGTCAACTCCCTCTCGCTGACTGAAGCCTCGAGCCACGTAACGCGCCTTGAAGACAGGCGGAGAACCCGGCGGCCGCTTCACCCTGAAAATCCACATGCCACTGACGATGTTTGCCCCAGGTGGGGGAACCTCGTCAACGTAGGTGCCTGTGGACTTCCAGGAAGCCATCTCTGCGTCCATGGCTGCCTGCCACTGAGAGGAGTAGGGACCCTCTATCGCCTTTTTCTATATGCGCGGAGTGGGGATGTCTACTGCATCCGGGTCTCCCTCAGGGGCAAGTAGCGAGGACACAAGATGAGGTAAAGCAGCAGCAAGACACTGGAACTCCTCCTGCCTGTCCTCAAGGACGTCCGTGCTAAGAGCACACTCACCCCCGACGGACGGAGGACAGACAGACTCAGACTCAGCAACAAGACTGGCGGCGTAGTCTAGACGACAGGCAGCAGCAAAGTCAACAAGCTCAGCGACCAAGGCAGACGCAGCAGTAGACTCAAACGACGGGTCAGTGACAACAGTGGCTAGGAGACGTGTGACAGTAGGGTGCTCAGTACGAAACCGGTCAGACTCAGGGTCCGGAACGGTAGGCAGAGAGGACGCAGGGGGAGACGGCAGAGGAACAGGCTGCGGAGCAGAGGAAGGACGACGGACAACAAGGTGTGCGCTGGGGACAGCCGGCTGACGCGCACGAGCGACACGACGAACGGTACGACCAGAACGAACAGGCGAGACAGGACGCGACGCAGGCTCACGACGCGTAGCAGGACTGCCTGTCTGCTCAGTGTAAGGAGAGGGAGCAGGTAGCGGTGAGCCAGTCTGTAACGGAAGACCAGTAGACGACGGGAGAGTAACAACCTGACGAAGAGCAGAGTCAGGCGGCGGCAGAGACGACGGAGACGGCGGAGCGAAGAACAGTCGTGTCGGCGCAGCTGCACCAGTACCGGCAGCTCCAGCAGCTCCAGCAGCTCCAGTGCCTCCAGCAGCTCCAGTACCTCCAGCAGCTCCCGTACCTCCAGCAGCTCCAGAAGCTCCAGTCCCAGAGCCGACACCTCCAGTCCCAGGGTCTCCAACCTCTGTGTCTCCAGCAGCAGCACCCCCAGACCCAGCACCTCCAGTCCCAGGGTCTCCAGCCTCAGTGTCTCCAGCAGTAGCACCCCCAGAACCAGCACCTCCAGTCCCAGGGTCTCCAGCCTCAGTGTCTCCAGCACGAGCACCTCCAGAACCAGCGACTCCAGCACCTCCAGTAGACAAAGGACCAGCACCACTCCTAGCTCCAGCAGCGCGACGCTGACGGCGACCGTACCAGTCCTGCAGCTGCTGTGGTGTGAGAGGCACACGTGGACGAAGGCGGCTACTCCAAGGAGACCGCGCAACAGCAGACTCAGAACCCTCAGCGCCCGCATCCCCAACGGCTCCAGAACCTCCGGTGTCAGTACCCTCAGCACCAGTACCTCCAGCGGCTCCAGAACCTCCAGCACGAGCACCCTCAGCAGCTCCAGAACCTCCAGCTCCAGCGCCACCAGTACTAGGCCCTCCAGCAGCTCCCGAACCTCCAGCGCCAGCACCCTCAGTAGCTCCAGAACCTCCAGCGTCAGTACCGCCAAGCTCAGCACCCCCAGACCCCTCACACTCAGGCTCAGCACCACCAGGCTCCACACCCTCAAGCTCCGCACCCTCAGGCTCAGCACCCCCAGGCTCAGCACCCCCAGGCTCCGCACCCCCAGGCTCAGCACCCCTAGAAGTAGCACCCCGAGAAGGACCACCCTCAGTAGGACCTGAGTCACCAGTGACCTCAACCGGCGCAGTCAAGGGAGGAGGGTCTACCTGAGAAACACCTGAAGGAGCAGGACCAACAGTGGGGAGGGGGTCTACCTGGGGAGCACCTGGAGCGAGGAAGAGCGGCGGGGGGGGGAGCGGGGCAGTGCGGTAGGGGAAGAGACGGTAAAAGGGAACCGACTCGTCGAACGTGACGTCCTGAGACGCAAAGACACGGCGCGAGGTGGGATGGTAAAACTGCCAACCAGGCGCGTCAGGGACAAAGCCAAGGAAGACACAGGGAACAGCGCGGGCGGAGAGCTTGTCCGCGGTGGTATCGCGGACAAAGGCACGAGCACCCCAGACCTGGAAACGCGACGCATCACCAACCTTCCCCGTCCACAGCAGTGTGGGCGAGGTCTCCGGTAAGGAGACACGGGGCCAGAGGTTGAGCTGATGCGCGGCGTACCGGACTGCAAACGGCCACAGGAAATGGGGGGCAGCCGCATGGATCATGGAGGTACGAGCGACCTCCATGACTAAGCCAATGCGACGCTCAGCAACCCCATTCTGCTGTGGAGAGGCCGGAAGCGTGAACGACTGGGTGATGCCGTGCTCCGCACAGTAGGCTACCAAGAGGTCAGAGGAGAACTCACCACCTCTGTCAGAGTGCAGACGCAGGACAGGAAAGTCCCGCCGGAACCGCTCGCGGAGCTGGAGACGAATAGCGCGGATCCAAGGGATCAAAACATCAGGGACGTCCCCCTTGCTCTGCAAGGGGAAGACCGTGGTGTAACGCGTGTAGTCGTCGACAACCAGCAGGAAGTACCGCTCGCGGCCCTGTCCCTGGACGCGGGCTGGGCCCCACACGTCCAGGTGGAGCGTCTGCAGTGGAGCCTCTGTGGGAGGAAACGAGGAGGAGTGAGGAGCGGCGCGCTGCCGCCCCTCGATGCAAGGAATGCAGGGCGGCGCAGGCGAGGGAGGGAGGGCAGGCAGAGACCTGGGAAGACCAGAGACCAGGGAGCGAGAGTGCATGCTACGCAGGCGAGGCAAGGAGGGGTGACCAAGACGGTGGTGCCACAGGAGAGTGTCGTGCGACAAAGCGCGACACTCGCAGGGGGCCGCCAGCTGACCAGACGTAGACGCAGACGCAGCTACCTGAGGGGACTCAGTGGTCAGTGTGTACAGACTCGAGCCAGGTGCACGGGTGAACGTGGCCAAGTGCCGGCCCATCCTAGCACACGTACAGTGAGTCACTCGCTGACTCGCAGGAGTGAACTGGTCAACCTCCCGATCCTGGAGGTCAGCTCCACTCACCAAGTTCGTAGAGAACGAGGGGAGGTAAAGACCTGACAGCGAGCCGGACGGGACGGCCGGACACGGCAGAACCGTGGAGTAGTGGGCAAGGACTGGACCCCCGGAGGGGTCCGCCAGGGAGACTGGAACTGGCCGACTAAGCGGCGTGAGTGTGGTGCAGTCGCGAAAGAAGGAGCGAGAAGCTCCTGAGTCAAGGGTGAAGGTGTGCGAGACCGTAGTTGGCGCAGTACCAGAGAGAGCAGACTCACCAGCACCTGAAGCCACGGCCTCACCAGTACCTAGAGCAGTAGACGTACTAGCACCGAGAGCAGCAGCCTCACCAGTACCTAGAGCAGGAGACGCACTAGCACCTAGAGCAGCAGCCTCACCAGGGTCAGGCGGTACGCACAGATAACAGGCACGATCAGCACTAGTAGGCAATGCATACATGGCAGTGAGAATAGCATCATAGTCAAGCGCAAAGATATCTACCCTCTGTCCATGCAGCTCCAGCCAGGTGGGGAGCTCAGCCTCGTCGCCAAACACTGTGCGCCAGTCGTCGCTCAGACGGGCGAAGCAGCGGGACTGTGTGTGACCAAGCGTCCCACAAGGCTGACCAGTCCTAGCACCTGTGCGAATGACGTACGGGCAGCGAACTGTACGCGTAGACCTGCTACACTGAGCGTACCACTCCTGGAGCTGCCGAGGCGTAAGTGTCTCACGTGGACGCCCCTGCAGCTGCAGCTGGCCACTGCCAGACGCTCCCAACTGACCAGCTCCAGGGCGACAGCTACGACGGCTACTGCGACAACCCCAGCTAGTATACCACTCACTAAGCTGCTGGGGCGTCAGAGGCTCGCGTGAACGTCGCTGGAGCTGCATCTGGCCACCTGCCAGTAGCAGTAGCAGCAGCAGTAGCGCGGGCAAGGCAGGCGCGGCAGGCAGGCAGGCAAGCAGGCAGGCAGGCCGGCAGGCAGGCAGGCAAGCAGGCAGGCAGGCAGGCCGGCAGGCAGGCAGGCAGCCAGGCAGGCAGGCAGGCAGGCAGACAGGCAGGCAGGCAGGCAGGCAAGCAGACAGACAGGCAGGCCGGCAGGCAGGCAGGCAGTCGCGCAGGCAGGCAGGCAGGCAGGTAGGCCGGCAGGCAGGCAGGCAGCCAGGCCGGCAGGCAGGCAGGCAGACAGGCAGGCCGTCAGGCAGGCAGGCAGGCGCTCACCAAAGGCTGGAAGAGCAGGCGCTCACCGGGCGAGCAGGGCCGGCGCTCGACGGGCGGCGGCCGAGTAGGCGCACGACAGCGGCGGCGTCGGGGCCGCAAAACCGGCTGCAGAGCAGGGCCGAAGCAGCTGCAGGGCGGGGCCGCTTCAGCGGCAGTAGCAGGGTGGGGCCGCGTCAGCGGCAGGTCGGGGCCGTGGCAGCTGCAGGGCGGGGCCGCATCAGCGGCAGGTCGGGGCCGTGGTAGCTGCAGGGCGGGTCCGCATCAGCGGCAGGTCGTGGCCGAGGCAGAGGGCCGCGCGCGGCTCGGCGCGGGCTGCGCTGACAGCGCGCTGAGCTGCTGCAGGCCGCGCGCGGCCGCGCTAGGCAGTAGCGGGCCGCGCGCGGCTCGGCGCGGGCTGTTGCGGGCCGCGCGAGGCAGTAGCAGGCCGCGCGCGGCTCGGCGCGGGCTGCTGCGGGCCGCGCGCGGGCCTCGCGAGGCCGTAGCAGGCCGCGCGCGGCTCGACGCGGGCTGCGTGGGCTCGGCGCGGGCTGCGCGCGGCAGCTGCGGGCTGCGCGCGGCTGCAGCGGGCTGTGCGCGGCTCGGCGCGGGCTGCGTGGGCTCTGTGCGGGCTGCGCGCGGCTGCAGCGGGCTGCGCGCGGCTCGGCGCGGGCTGCGCGGGCTCTGTGCGGGCTGCGCGCGGCTGCAGCGGGCTGCGCGGGCCTTACGGGCCTCTAGGGGCGGCGCGTGGGCCTTACGGGCCTCTAGGGGCAGCGCGCTGGCCTAGGGCAGCAGGAGGCAGCGCTAGGGCTGCTGGACGGCGCACATAGTGCAGCACGTCACAAGGCAAGGCAAGGCAGGCAGGTACGTGGGGTAGCGCGGTAACCGCAGCGGTAGGTGGGCCCGAAAAAAAACGGTCCTACGGACCTTAGTGCTCTGAAACCATGTCAGAATCTAGCAGCAGGAATGGATGAACTAGCAACATGCAGGAGTACAAGTAGTAAACCCTAATTGGGCTGTACCCCATATGGGCTACCCCACTACAGCCTAGACAATATGCAGCATATATGTTTGACATTCTGTTGCAGTTTGATGTGAAGCAGGGCTCTCGTTATCAGACCATTTTGGTCTGATGGTCTGATTTTCAGACTCATGTTTATATATTCATCTAAGGTGCCTGAAGACGTGTTGGCCGCTGTTGGAGTTGACTCGGGAGAGATTTATGGTGGCACTGGCTGGGCCTAGGAGGGGAGGGGAAGAGGACGCAGGCGAAATAGGACGATTCTCGATGAAGGCATGGCATAAGGCTCACAGATTATGAAAGAAAGCAATCAGTTTTCTCAGAAAATCTCGTTCGCCACCTGTCTTTGTGTTTGCATGAGTCTCTACCATGGTAAGTGCTTTTGGGTGTATATTGGGTGCCGTCTATATTGGGTGCTCTTTTTGCTTTCACTGGATAATCCATTGTGTTTCTCCACTTACATCTGCCATTTCTAAACGAGTGTGCCGAAACAGGTGCAATGTCGTTCAAACGCACACGTGCTGCTGATGTGTCCATGCGCTGCGGATATTTCGGTCGGCGAAAACGGACACTTGACTTCCGAACCCATCTTTCGCGAAAAGTTTCGCTCACATCACCCTCTCGCGTAAGGATGGTCGTCGCTTTGTCGCCTTGGCCGGCTTGCTTGCCCTATCCAACAGGGAGACCTTAGATGCGAACGTAACTGCCTTTCCTTGCGGCTCCGGTCGGCTTGTCGTGATTGTGTGCGAAAACGGTCGGCTCTTCATTGCGTGCGAGCTTGGTAACCTAATCCCTGCAGGTTGCCATCTGACATCGCCCAATCGCGACCCAGCACTGCAGGCGCGCTGGCGAATGAAAATGCTGCAAGAGGGCATTTGTTCAAATGCTGCAACAGAAGGCGTGCGCATTTGTTCCAACGCATTCGCTCTTCTCTCAGTTCAACTTGCCCACACCGCCTTCGTCCTTCCCACAGTTATCCTCCTAAAGCAAAACCTCTCTCCATCTCAGCTTTTCCATCTTTTCCTGTCTGCGTTTTCAGCACGCCCGAAGTTAGGAATCCTCCTAGGTCACCATGGCTGCTAGTGATACCCTCTCTGGGGCAGACTGGTTTGCCAGCGGGATTAGCACCGCTCAAAATCTTTCTTCGAATTTCACGGCATCAAGCGGAGTCTTCCGCGCAGCGTCACGCCTCGTCGACTCTTCAAGCTTAGTATTACTAGGCGACTCTCAATTTGTTATCACAGCCGTTGTCGCCGCCGTCGCCGTTCACATTTCCACTTCCTGGATCTCTTTCCTACGCCGCCGTCGTTCCCTTCCCCCAGGCCCTTCCCCATGGCCCATCCTCGGCAACCTCCCGGACCTAGGACCGCTCCCCTTCCGCTCTCTCGCGAAGCTGACCGATACGTACGGCCCGACCCTGACCGTCTGGTTCGGTTCTACGCCTTCCGTGGTGGTTTCGTCGCCAGAGCTCGCTCGCGAGGTGCTGAAAACGAATGATAAGCTCTGCTCGTCTCGCCCGATGACTCGCACATTGGATATCCTCTCTCTCGGCGGCAAAAACATCGTGTTTTCGCCACCGAACGACCATTGGCGGAAGTTGCGACGGCTCACGATGCTCCACCTTCTGTCTGCGAAGAAACTGCAGGAGAGCCTTCCCGTGCGAGAGGGGGAAATTCGCGTCATGCTGAATGCGATCGCTGCTGACGTAGCTGGTACTGCTGACGAAGCCGCTGCTGACGCAACAAATGATCCTTCGGATGTGACTTATACGGGTGCTACTACTTCGGGAGGGACCGCGAAAACTTCCGCCATGGCGGAAGTGGGGAGCACAGTAGAAGTGCGACGTTATTTAAATCGCGCGACGCTCAACAACATTATGCGCCTGACTGTCGGGAAGCGCTTCGGCTATTCCTCGATTCGCGGCGCGGCGAGCACCACGTCGAAGGCGATTCTCGACGCCGCGATGCGAATTGACTGGAACGAACGCATCGCTGCAATGAGCGGCGAGAAACGCGGCGCTGAGATTCGACGCGGCGCTGCCGCTTCGGCCGCAGCTCCAGCGATTAGTACGGCTACGACTAACGTAGCTTCTGCAATGGAGGAAGCGGAAGGAGAGCTGGCGTTTGCGATAGTGGAGGAGGGGTTTGCTCTTGCGGGAGCATTCAATATCGCGGATTACGTGCCCTGGCTGAGCCACTGGGACCCGCTGCGCATGTACGCGCGCGCGCAGCGCCTCGCGCCGCAGCTGCACGGATTCATGCGCGCGTGCATCGAGGAGCGACGCGAGCTCGTGCAGCAGAAGAGTCGTACGGCTATGGTTGCTCGTGAAGGTTCGAGGAATGAGACTACTTTTGTCGATGCTCTCTTCGAGATTGAAGGGGAGGGAGAGGATCAGATGGATAAAGACGAGATGCTGATGCTTACAATCGATATGATGATGGCGGGAACTGATACCACTTCCAAGACCGTGGAATGGGCGCTTGCTGAGCTGGCGCAGCAAACTGACATGCTGGAACGGCTCCGTGCTGAGGTGGATGCGGCGTATGCCAGGTCAGCAAGTGCGGCTGCTGAAACTGGGGCGGCTGATGCAGGAGGGTCGGATCTGGTGGTATCTCTGCCGGTAGCGGAAATGCCGTATCTGCAGGCTGTGTTAAAAGAAACACTTAGGCGTCATCCTGTCGTTCCGATTCTCGTTCCCCACCTGACAACTGGGAGTGTAACATTGGGTGGTTACCACATCCCTCCCAGCACCATGATCCAGATCAACATGTGGGCTCTTGCACACGATCCAACGGTCTGGATCAACCCGCACGAATTTGATCCCTCCAGATTCCTTGGCCCTGACGCCCCTGATGTGACCGGGCAAAATTTCAGCCTGCTGCCCTTTGGTTCGGGTAGGCGTGGTTGCCTAGGGACAAATCTGGGTTTGGATCTATCTGCCCGCCTACTGGCCAATTTCGTTCGGCGGTTTGATTTCAAGCTGCCCGAAGATGTGAGAGCAGCTGGGGGGCTGGACATGACAGAAAATTTTGGGCTGACCATGGCTCTGGCTAAACCGCTGAGGGTTGTGGTGAGGGAGAGAAAGGCAGTGCCAGGGACGGTGGTTTCTGCTTCAGGAGCATGAGCTGCAAGGGGTGCTGCAAGGTGTGCTACATGAGGGGTCGAGCTGGTTATGGAGTTATGGAGTTAACGTCTGGGTCTCGCTCACGATCCAACGGTCTGGATCAACCCCCATGAGTTTGATCCTAGCGGGTTTTTTGGTACATCTGCCCATGATGTCCCAGGGAAGAATTTTGGCGTGCTGCTTCGGGCAGGCGTGTGTGTGCAGTTATGGATATAGAATTGAACCTTTCTGTGTGTATGGTAGCAAGCATTCTGTTGCGGTTTGATTTGAAGCTGCCCGAAGATGTCTTGGTTGCTGGTAGAGTTGACTTTGATTTGGGAGAGGACTCTGGTATAATTTTGTGTTACAGGAGTGGAAATGGACGCAGGCTAAGTACGGTATGAATCAAGACGTCTTGAGAGTTTGAAAATGAGTTGGCTTGGCAGGTGTCCATCTGGAGGGTGTAGCAAGCAATCAGTTTGGTCACTAAGGTTGCATTCCCGGTCGGGACACCATCTGAAGTAGGGACACGCGACTCGCAATTTCGAAAATCGACATTTCAATGTTCGGCCACGCGGTTCGAGATCGGGGCACTTAGGACCTGACGGTTTAGGGTGTGTGCGACCCTTTGCTCATGTTGTGCGATCTTGGCTTTTTAGGGGCGTTGCAGTGCATTGGAGCTGACTTGGCGCTAACGTGCCAGCCAGCCGGCTACATGTAAATGGTCCTGCCCGCAATTCCAATCGGGCGCCCCCAAGTCGAAAAAGTCAATCGGCCTTTTCATTTTTTACACAGCCCGACTGCTAGGTTCTGCCGTTAAATTGGCGCCCATAATGTTGTCGCTTCTCGTCGTTTTACGACACCTCGACACCCCAATTGGTTGGTGACCCCCCAAAAAATCGCAACATGCAAACGACGCGTGCGACCCCGATTGCATACAGAACACTGTCAAATGTCAGAGGTGGCGCCCTGCCCCAATAGGGACACCATCCGTGCGCCAAAACCGTTCGGATGGGCAAACTTCGGATGGTGTCCAAACCGGGAATGCAATATAATTCTTGGGTATCAGCTGTCCTTGTGTTTGCATGCACTTCTTGTGTGTGTGTGTGTGTGTGTGTGTGTGTGTGTGTGTGTGTGTGTGTGTGTGTGTGTGTGTGTGTGTGTGTGGTGTGTGTGTGTGTGTGTGTGTGTGTGTGTGTGTGTGTGTGTGTGTGTGTGTGTGTGTGTGTGTGTGTGTGTGTGTGTGTGTGTGTGTGTGTGTGTGTGTGTGTGTGTGTGTGTGTGTGTGCGTGTGCGTGTGTGTGCGTGTGTGTGCGTGTGTGTGTGTGTGTGTGTGTGTGTGGTGTGTGTGTGTGTGTGTGTGTGTGTGTGTGTGAATTGAATAATCCATCTTGTTTCTAACAATTTTACTTGCGATGTTTAAACGAATTTGCTGGGTGCGAATTGTCGAGACAAGCTACCACAAGTGGTGCTGATGTGTCAACGACAGCAGTACAGCAAGTTGAGGTCACCTGAAGCTTCCCCGAACGTTTTCGCTATATTCATCCTCGAGAAACGATGGTCCTCATTTTTCGCCAAGCCAGGGTTGCTTCCCCTGACCTTCAGGAAATGTATTCATGCGAACGATCCTGCCCATCGCGTGCGAAACCAGTTCACTATTCATTGCGTGCGAACACGGTCACCTGAGACCTGCACGTTGCCATCTGGCATCGTCCAATCTTGAATCTCCATGGTCCACGCATTTCCAACTCCCCAAACGCGGCGCGATAGCACGTTGAAAACGGTGTACCTATAGCTCCACCAAACCGCATGAATGTGCGCCGCGGTCCCCAAAGTCCCGACACATTTGTTCCTCGCGCGGTTCGGGCTGACCTCAATTTATGTTCATCGCACATTTATCCACCCCGCACGTACCTCTTTCCACCTCAGCTTTCCTCCGTTGTGATGAAAGGTGGGATTTCCCCGAATCGCTTTGCACTTTTTGCGTTTCCAGCACGGCCGTAGCTGGAATTCTTTTCATGGCTGCTGGTGATACGCTTCCTGGGACAAGCTGGTTTGCCAGCGGGATCAACACCGCCCAGCATCTTTCCCCGAATTTAACGGCATCAAACAACGTCTTCCGCGCTGCCTCACGCCTCGTCGACTCTTCAACCTTAGCACTAGCCAACTCGCATTTCGTCATCACAGCTGTTGTCGCCGCCGTCGCGGTTCTCATTTCCACTTCGTGGCTCTCCTTCCTCCGCCGCCGTCGCTCCCTCCCTCCCGGCCCTTCCCCATGGCCCATCTTCGGCAATCTCCCGGACCTAGGACTGCTGCCTTTTCGCTCCTTCACAAAGCTGGCGGACAGGTACGGCCCGATCCTGACCGTCTGGTACGGTTCAACGCCGTCAGTGGTCATCTCGTCGCCAGAGCTCTCTCGCGAGGTGCTTAGAACGAATGATAAGCTCTGCTCGTCTCGCCCGATGAATCGAACGTTGGCTCTTCTCTCACTTAACGGCAAAAACATCGTGTTTTCGCCACCCAACGACCGTTGGCGAAAGTTGCGACGGCTGTCGACGCTCCACCTTCTGTCTGCGAAGAAACTGCAGGAGAGCCTTCCCGTGCGAGAGGAGGAGGTTCGCGACATGCTCAATGCGATCGCTGCTGACGTGGCTAGTACTGCTAACGAAGCCGCTGCTGGCGCAGGACCTAGTCCTTCGGATGTGACTAAAACGTGTGCTGCTACTACGGGAGGAGCGGCGAAATCTGCTGGCGTGGCGGAGGAGGGGGTCATAGAAGTGCGAAGGTATTTAAATCGCGCGACGCTCAACAACATTATGCGCGTGACTGTCGGGACGCGCTTCGGCTATTCCTCGATTAGCGGCGCGGCGGCGAGCACCACGCTTCTCGAAGCCGGGATGCGCATCGACTGGAACGCGCGCATTGCCGCAATGGGCGGCGAGAATCGCGGCGGTGAGATTCGACGCGGCGCTGTCGCCGACGCAGCTGCATCTCCAGCCACGGGGTCTGACGCTTCGGCAGCGGCAGAACAAGATAGCTCCAAGCTTCTACCCTCACAGACAGAGAAGGCGGATAGTGGTACTAATGCTGTTAAGACGAACTCATCGTCTCCAATGGAAGAAGCGGAAGGAAACATAGCGCTTGCGATAATAGAGGAGGGCTTTGCTCTTGCGGGGACATTCAATATCGCGGATTTCGTGCCCTGGCTGAGCTATTTGGACCCGCAGCGCATATACGCGCGCACGAAGCGTCTCGTGCCGCAGCAGCACGGATTGATGCGCGCGTGCATCGCGGAGCGACGCCAGCTCCTGCTGAAAACGCGGTCAGGGGGACGCGAAAAGCCTGAGGACTCGGCCCTTGTAGATTCTTTGTTCGAGATTGAAGGGGAGGGGGAGGATAAAGTGGATCAAGACGAGATGCTGCTGCTCGCGATTGATATGATGATGGCCGGGACTGATACCACCGCCAAAACCGTGGAATGGACACTTGCTGAGCTGGCGCAGCACCCTGACATGCTGGAAAGGCTCCGTGCTGAGGTGGATGCGGCATATGCCAGGTCAGCAAGTGCAGCCGCTGAAGCAGCTGGAGCAGCTGAAGCAGGAGGATCGGAATTGGTGATCTCTCTTCCAGTAGCAGAAATGCCTTACCTGCAGGCTGTTTTAAAAGAATCACTTAGGCATCATCCGGTCGCTCCGTTCCTCGGTCCCCACATAACAACTGGCAGCGTTACTCTAGGTGGTTACCACATCCCTCCCAACACCATGATCCAGATCAACAGTTGGGCTCTCACGCACGATCCAACGGTCTGGATCAACCCGCACGAATTTGACCCCTCCAGGTTCCTTGACCCTGCTGCCCCTGGCGTGACCGGGCAGAATTTCAGCCTCCTGCCCTTTGGTTCGGGCAGGCGCGGGTGCCTTGGGATGAATATGGGGTTGGACTTTGCTGCCCGCCTGCTGGCAAATTTCGTTCGGCGGTTTGATTTCAAGCTGCCCGAAGATGTTAGGGCAGCTGGAGGGCTGGATATGACGGAAACTATTGGGCTGACCATGGCTCTCGCTAAGCCACTCAGGCTTGTGGTGAGGGAGAGAAAGGTAGTGGCAGGGGCGGTGGTGGCTGCTTCAGGGGCATGAGCGGCAAGGGGTGCTGCATGGGGTTTATCTGGGTTGAGCTGGTTACTTTTTTTTTTTTTTTGGTAGGTGAAAATGCATTATACAACGTACAACGCAAAACACCGTCGGTCGTAACCGGAGCTAGAAGGCATAGGTAGTGTATACCATACCCTCGCAGAGATCTACGGAGGCTTATAGACCAAACGCCTAAAAAATTCAACTTGCCCACTACAAAACCTCTTTGTGCCGTTGGCACACTTCAACTCTGGCAGAAACGCCTCGGTAGGTTCCAGGTTCAATGTCTGTCGCTTCGGCTGGGAAGAATCGGCTCCGAGCCTGCCTTGCTGTGCCTTGTAAAAAGGTTGGGATCCAACAGAGAAAACCCTGGTTCGAAATTGCTGCCGAGCGGGACCTTTGTGACGGATGTACAGTCTTGGTCCTTTGGCTCCAAATCTGATTCGCCGAGAGTGGTGGAGTGCAGAATTTGCCCTGGATCTAAGTTGCTGCCTATCAACTGTGCCTTGTACACCAAAGCCTCCTGTGCCAGGCAGTTGCGTGAGCGGTGTGCTGGGAGCTACCCCCACTGTCCGAGGGGAGAAAGCAGGAGCAGCTGCACCAGCAACGGATTTCTTCTGAAAGACCCCGCGCGTCTCACAGTCAGTCTTAGCGTAGCGCCATAGTCCAGTTTCCTCCAGTGACATGAGCTTGTCAGAACATAATGCTTGTCTAGTCTGTAGTGGGGTACTCAATAGTGAGTATAACCCTTTTGGGCTTGCTATTTGTACTCCGCTTCTTTCTAGTTCAATCATCTTTCCTCTTCTACTGCTTGCACTTCTCTTTCGTGTACCCTAAACCTAGCTATGGCTTCTTAGTCTTAGCTACTATTTTGACATGGTATCAGAGCGAAGGTCTCGGGTTCGAATCCCGGTGTGTGCACCTTGGGCATCCCAGTGCGGGGGGGTGTCAGAGGTCCACTGGTGATCCCCGATGATCCTAGGGAAGGGTTACAGGCACGTTGGCCTGGGGGGTTATGGGCGCACTCACCCGCTACACAAACAAGCCCTTTTATCCCAGTGGTTAGTGGCTGGGATTCTGACATGGTATCAGAGCGGTTACGCTCTTGGCCTGTGGGCCCCACGTGCTTCCGCTGCTTTCCTGTCTGTCGCGCGCCCCGTGGCGCGCGACGCCTTATTTTTCTTCCCGCCGCGCGTTCGGGTCGCGCGGCGGTTCGCTGCTCCGTCGAAGCGCACCCCCCACCCCCCCGTCGCCTGCAGCAGACCCGCCCGTCACCCCCGCTGCCCCGTCGCGGCGCCCTGGGGAGCCGCGCGCGACCCCGCAGCCACGTCGCGGCGCCCTGAGGAGCCGCGCGCGACCCCGCAGCCATGTCGCGGCGCCCTGGGGAGCCGCGCGCAACCCCGCAGCCGCGTCGCGGCGCCCTGGGGAGCCGCGCGCGCGACCCCCGCTGCCCCGTCGAGGCGCCCTGGGAGCCGCGCTCGCCCCCCTCCCGCTGCCCCGTCGTGGCGCCCTGGGGAGCCGCCCGCCGTCCCCCGAATCGCTTACGGGTTACCCCCCCACTCCCCCACGCTGCTGCCTTTGTTAGGGTTTGGGGGTGGCGCGTGTGGGGGTGGCGCGTATGGGGGTGCTGGTTATGTGTTCCGTCCCCTGCTCCTCCTCCTCCTTCGTCTCCCACTGCTGCAGCTGCCGCTGAGGGGGGTGGATGTGTGGGAGCAGAGGGTTAGGGTTTAAGTGGGGGTGGCGTGTGAGTGGGGCTAGGGATGCAGCAAAGGGGTGTGTGATAGGGGGGTGTGGGACTGTTAGGGGGGGGAGAGTGGAGGTCGCTGTCGTGTCGTCTGCAGCGCCTGTAGTCCGGAGCCGTCGTGCTCTCGGTAGCCCAGCGAGCCTGCTTCGCCAGTCGCCTGTGGGTCAGTTGCTCCTGTGTGTGCTCGTCGTAGCCGCGGAGCCAGATACTCCCGTAGTCCGGTGCCCTCGTGCGCTCGGTAGCCACTGTGCGCGCCGCTCCTGTTGCCCGTTGTGTCTGCAGCTTCGCCCATCGCCTGCAGCAGATCGCCCCCCACAGTTTCTCCTCCTCCTCACTTGCCCTCTGTGTTAGTCTCTAGCCTTTGCTTATCACTATGATCTACTGCTCTGAATGCTTGTTGTGCTGGCTGTACCCCACCTTGACTATGGGGGTGTGTCAGAACATAATGCTTGTCTAGTCTGTAGTGGGGTACTCAATAGTGAGTATAACCCTTTTGGGCTTGCTATTTGTACTCCGCTTCTTTCTAGTTCAATCATCTTTCCTCTTCTACTGCTTGCACTTCTCTTTCGTGTACCCTAAACCTAGCTATGGCTTCTTAGTCTTAGCTACTATTTTGTCAGAGCTTATCCTGAAAACTTTCTGCCGTAGAATCCACCAAGTTATGCTCTGTATCCATGATACCATTGACCTTCCCCTCATGATATGGTCAGAATCCTCATTTGCTTGAAATCTGGACTTGAGTCAGCCACGTAGACATTCCTTGTAATGCGTTGAGATGACAAGCGTGAAGCTCCTGCTTTTGAGCGATGTAGGATGGCAGAAAATGCTGATAATCTGAAAATGTTCCGTCCAGAAATTTCCTTGTACTTCACACCCTTTCTTGCACCTGCACTTCTTCTCGGGAGCCATTCTAGATGTCCTTCATTTTGCTTCTGCTGCAAACATGATGTATACCTCGTCTTGTCAGAAACCAACGCTGATCCAGACTTGGTAGTTCTCGATGGTGGTAAAAAACATGTCCGCGGGTGACGCGACGTCTCTTTTAAAGTCTGTTGTCGAACAATTGAAGAGAATGTTGATAGACGAAATATATTTGGCGGTCCAGTTGCTGTGTACTTTCTCTTCTCATGGTATGTCAAGCCTTTCTTGCTGTCCAGGTTCCAACTTGGGTGACGACTTGTGCTAAGCTTGGCCATTATCACTTCCATGGAGTAACTTAATGTCTTGAGCTTAAAACCAGTTAAAAACCTGAAAAACAGATCTTCACAAGAGGAAGTCGCGACGAACCAATGTTCTCTGTTTGAACACAAAATGGTGTCGTAATCAAGCTCTTGATGAGTAGATCCGGAATATGTATTCAGATCTTGAAACTGATAGCGATTAGCTTGACCTTGTGTGAGTTAAAGTTCTCCTAGGAGCCATGGCGGAGAGCTTGGAGCGGAGAGATTGGAAGCTCGTGAGTTCGGTTCAGGCACTTCAACCGAAGCGTTGTCATCAGGCCCTCAGAAGTCAGACTTTTTTCTCTGATTTGGGCTTTTTTCTCTGATATTTCAGATTTTTTTTCCTGTGTACTCTGATAAAATCAGACTTTTTTGGGCCTCAACTCTGTAATTTTCAGACTTTTTTTAAGGCTAACTCTGAGAGTTCAGAGTTTTCTGAGAGTGTACTCTGATCATTCAGAGTACAAACGCGTCCTTGACTGGTGATTCGGACTTACGGGTCACAGCAGATTCGCATTGCCAACGCAAAATCGCCTTGACACAGCAAATCCGAGCCTTACATCACAAGATTTTCGCCCAATCATAGCAAACACAACAGATTTGCGTTGTCAGAGTGTTAAGTTGTAATGTGTTATTTATATGTAGGTAGGCTGTAGTGGGGTAGCCAATACAGGGTACAAACCCAACTAGGGTTAGCTACTTGTACCCAACTGTTTCTTTCAATGCACTCATTCTTGCCTAGTTCTGTTAACATGGTATCAGAGCAGGAGGTCCCTAGGACCTACCGACCGTTTTTTTTTAAGGGCCCACCACCGCTCGCATGCGGTTACCACGCTACCCCGTGCCCTAGCCTCGTAGCGCCCTCGTGCGCCCTCGTTAGCGCCCTCGTGCGCCCTCGTTAGCGCCCTCGCGCGCCCTCGTTAGCGCCCTCGCGCGCCCTCGTTAGCGCCCTCGCGCGCCTCTCGTTAGCGCCCTCGCGCGCCCTCGCTAGCGCCCTCGTGCGCCTCTCGTTAGCGCCCTCGCGCGCCCCTCGCAGCGTCGCCCGCCCGCCGAGCCGCCCGCTCGCAGCGTCGCCCGCCTACCGCGCTGCCCGTTTCGCAGCCCGCCCGCCGCGCTGCCCGCTCGCAGCGTCGCCCGCCCGCCCGCTGCCCGCTTGCAGCGTCGCCCGCCCGCCCGCTGCCCGCTTCGCAGCGTCGCCCGCCCGCCGCGCTGCCCGCTCGCAGCGTCGCCCGCCCGCCTCGCTGCCCGCTTGCAGCGTCGCCCGCCCGCCCGCTGCCCGCTTCGCAGCCCGCCCGCCGCGCTGCCCGCTCGCAGCGTCGCCCGCCCGCCTCGCTGCCCGCTTGCAGCGTCGCCCGCCCGCCCGCTGCCCGCTTGCAGCGTCGCCCGCCCGCCCGCTGCCCGCTTCGCAGCCCGCCCGCCGCGCTGCCCGCTCGCCGCGTCGCCCGCTCGCCCCGCTGCCCGCTTCGCAGCCCGCCCGCCGCACTTCCCGCCTGCAGCACCGCGCTGCCCGCTTCGCAGCCCGCCCCCCGCACTGCCCGCTCGCCGCGTCGCCCGCCCGCCGCGCTTCCCGCCGAGCTACCTACCTGCAGCGCTGCGGCAGCTTCCTTTGCTCAGTCGCACTGTCGCTATGGCTTCCATCCGCGTGCTGTCGTTCGATGCTGAGGGCCGCCCTGTGAAGTTCGCCACTTGGCTGGATGACCTGCAGCTGTTCCTTCTGAGCGATAGCAAGGAGCATGTGTCGCTCTATGATTACGCGTCTGGTGCTGCACCTGCCCCTCCTGCCACAGCTGAGCTTAGTGTTCGTTCCCACTGGCAGACTCGTGACGCAGCTGCTCGCCTAGCCATTCGCAGTCACCTGCCGCTAGCTGAGCTCGAGCATTTTGGCGACTGCAAATCCGCTAAGGCCCTGTACGATGCTGTCGTTGCTCGCTACTCCTCGCCTGCCACAGCCGAGCTTAGCCGCCTCATGCTGCCGTACCTGTTCCCTGAGCTGTCCACCTTTGCTACAGTCGCCGATCTTATCACTCACCTTCGCACTAGTG